GGATCCCCACCCTAAGGCTGAAAGGCAGCACAGGAGTGAGGAGACACAGGGATCCCCAACCTGAGGTTCCAGGGAGGGGTGTGCTGAGCAGATTTGGCATGAATCAGGAAGACCGGGGTGGTTTTAAGTGGGAGATTTTAGAGTTCAGAATCTCACAGCTATAGATTGAAGTTTTCATTTAATCAGTATTTATTACGGGTCATTACTGGGTGCCAGGCACATTGAGATACAGCAGACTAAAACAACACGGCCCTCAAGGATTTATATTTTCAGGAGGTGGGAAGATTTTTTTTTTTAAAAACAGTTTTACTAGCACTTCATCCACATGCCCTACATTTGTACTGAATTACAATGTAGTAATTCGGTTATCTCAAAAAGAGTTGTACAAGTATCACCATATTCAATTCCAGAACATTTTCTTCTTTGTACTCACTGTTATTCATGTGATTATTTTTTCCTTACTGTGGTAAAAATACACAACGAAACATTCAATTCCACAACTTCTCCATGTGTAATTCAGTGTTGTTAATTATGTGCTTTGTGTTCTGCAACCATTATTGATAACCTTTTCCAAATTATTCACCACCAATGACACACTTAATAATGCCCCCTAAGCAATAGCTTTCTCCTACCATGGGTGCATGGTAACCACTGGTTAAGTTTGATTTCTTTTTAGTAGTTTTCTTGATAGAGTAGTCACATATCGTGTACTTTGCTTTTAAAATTAGTTCTATATACACCATCAAAATCAGTTCTGGTGCTCGCTCCCTCCTCTTGCATTCATTGGTTACTCGCCAAATCCCCCTACCTTCCTCTCCCATTTTCCTTCCACAGTGTCAGTGAACCATTGTTTCACTTATTGTCTCTATGTAGCTATTCCTTCTGTACTTCATAAACTGGAAACCCAACAAACTGTAAAAGGCAACCTAATGGTAAGAAGAAAATAATAATAATATAAATATACAAATAAAGAATAAGAAAGAGAAGTCCGTCAATATGTAAGAAGCTAGAAGAAATGTCATGGGACAAGCGGGAAATACTTGGTCCTAGAGCTAATTCAGGTTGGGTCAAGAGGGAGGTCAGCTGACCAAGTATCATAAACAGGGTTCAGTGAGGTGGGAATATACTTATGGAATATTTTGTGGAAAAAGAAAACAAGGTGAAGAGGATAGGAGTAGCAAGAACTATTCTAATAAGAGTTATTTGGAGAAACCTTACTGTCATAAGTGGTTCGATGATTCACATTTAAAATGATGAATGATTTAGTTTATAAATATTGATATACATCTCAAGATCTACCATATTTATAACTAAGGAGCCCTGATGGCACAGTGGTTACGTGCTCAGCTGTTGACCAAAAGGTGGATGTTTGAACCCACCCCAGAGTTCCATGGGAAAGACCTGGTCATCGATTCCTATAGGGATTGAACTCTTCCGTAAGTTGATCTTGACTCAGAGACATTATAGGACATTAAAACTGCATCTTTATAGGAGAAGAGTGTCACATCTTTTTACTGCAGAGTCTCTGGTGGATCCAAACTGCCAGTCTTCCCATCAGCAGCAAGTGCTCAACCACTGGGCCACCAACTCTGTGAAGCAATTGTGCTCTTGTCACATGGGGTCACTTTGAACCTAAAGTAAAATCGTCTTGTTGGCACCAAAAAGCAGCATTTGCAACTATCTATTATGTGTTGCTCTTGTTTTCTGTTCCATTTTTGTCTTTCAACTTTCCTTTTTCTGTGTGTACAACTTCCTCTTGAACTAATGAGCACATGAGCACAATGAAGTGTTCTGGAATTCCTATTCTTTTCTAGGCTATGTATAGTTCTCTATGGTCCACACAGTTGAATGCCTGGGCAGAGTCAATAAAACACACGTGAACTATCTTTCTGGTATTTCTCTGCTTTTAGCTAAGATTCATCTGCTATCAGCAATGATATTCTTTGTTCCCTGTTCTCTTCTGAAGGCAGCTGAATCTCTGGAAGCCCTGTTAACGTTTTACTGCAATCATTGTTGACGATCTTCAGAAAAATCTTACTTGCATGTGATATCAATATTGTTCTATCATTTGAACATTATATTGGGTTACATTTCTTTGGAATGGGTACAAAAATGGATCTCTTCCATCTAGTGAGTGTTTCCAGTGCCTTCGCAGCTTGTTGAACTATTTCAGTTGCTGTGCCATCAATTTCTGAAGGCTTTCTTTTGGCTGATGGTTCCGTGCAGGGTGGCTTCCTTCCTGCTCTCCGTCGGGTAGGGTCATATGCTGCTGCCGGAAATGGTCGCATGGGAACCAGTTCTTTGTAATGCACATGCCTGCGTATTCTTTCTGTCCCCTTTGGAGGCTTCCTTCGATATTTTCTATGGAATCAATATTGCAACTCAAGACTTACATTTTTTTATTTAGCTATATCAGTTTAAGATAAACTGACCAAGTTCATTTTTGGTTTTCTAACGCTATGTCTTTGCACATTTCATTATATAATATTTTACTTTGTCTTCTTGAACTGCCCTTTGAAATGTTCACGTCAGCTCTTCTCATCATTTTTTCCGTTCCCGTAGCCACTCTGAGTAAGAGCAAGTTTTCAGAGTCTCTTTTGACATCCACCGTGCTCTTTCCTTTCCTGTCTTTTAACGACCTTTCGCTTCCTTCATGGATGCTGCTGATACCATTGTACAGCTCATCAGGCCTTCCGTCATTACTGTTCGATGCGTTAAATCTGTTACTGAGGGGCTCAAAAACCAGATGGAACAGACGCAAGGTCATTTTGACCTTTGTGGACTTAGTTCGATTTTCTCATGCTTCAATCTGAACTGAGGTATGAGCAACTGGCACTTTGTTGCACAGTCACTCCCAGGCCTGGTGGTAGCTGCTGCTGTTGAGCTCCATTATGCCCTCCCACAGACGTGGTCAGTTTGGGTTTTGTGTGTTCCAACTGAGGAAGTCCATGTGTACAGCTGCTCCCCTTTTGTGTTGTTGGAAAATTGTGTTTGTGATGAAAAAGTTGTTGGTCTTGCAAAAGGTTTTCGTGTGATCTTGTTTCTATCACCAGGACTATATTCTCCAACTACTGTTCTTCCTCTTTGTTTCCAACTTTTGCCTCTAGTCACCAATTACACCATTGCAGAAATCTGTTTCAGACGGAAGATGCTGGTAGAATTCAATTTTCATATCACCAGGTTTAGTGGTTGGTGCATAGATTTGAATAATTTTACTGAAATCTAAAAACCACCTATTATGTTGAGGTTACCTAGTTGATGCAAGTATATCAATATCCTATCAGACGGCTTTGTGCTCTAGATCTTGAAATGCCCTTTTTGACTGGGACACCATTCCATCATTCCTCTGGAATCTGTCATTCCCAGTATAGTAAACCATATGCTAGTCTGACTCAGCATGACCAATACCAGTAAATTTCAGCCTTCTGATATGCCTAGAATATTGATCTTTGTCAATTTAATTTCATTTTTTATTTCTAACTTTCCTAGATTCTTATTTTGTACATTCTAAAGTCCATTTATTAATAGATATTTGGAACTGTTCTCATTTTGAGTCATGCCCATCAGCAAATCAAAGTCCTGAAGGCTTGTTACTACTGCAGGTTTTATTCCATCCACATCTCAATGGCTGATGCATTATTGCACGTACACTTTCAACAGTTCTGCGTTTCTGACCCATGTTCTTTTTCTCCTGACTGAGGAACTGCTTTGAATTAACGCGACTTGCCATGCAAGTCTAGCGGTAAGAGATTCCCTCGATTTTTGTTTCTGATGAGGTTTTCATTTCTCCTTCAGCATATCCAAATTTTACTGTAGTTGGCAGCCAGTCCTCAAATAGTTTATTATTATAAGTATCTTTTAAAGTTGGGGCTTGCTTTTCTGCTTTTCATTTTTATTTTTGAGTGATTTTCAAAGATGAGAAGCATTCATTGTTAACTCATTGTTTTAGAAGAGCAACTATTGTTATTGTTTAGGAGCATTTTATAATAATTGGTATTTTTACCTCTAGGTATTTTAATGAAGGAACTGTCCTGGCCCACTATGCAGATGTCTTGGGTCTTTTGCTTAGATTACGGCAGATTTGTTGTCATACTCACCTACTTACAAATGCAGTTTCTCCCAGTGCCCCCACAGGTAACCAGATATGATTGGTTTATGCTGTTGTATTGGTTAAAAGAATTACATTAGAATATTTTAATATAACTTCTTGTTTGTGTGTGAAATGGACTTAGTGGAGGGACTCAGTTGGGGATATATCCAAGAGCCTTGGGGGCTTCCTTAGCCAGTGAAGAGGAATTACAGTGTGGATGATAGCCTCCAACAAGAGAGTCGAATCGGAGCTGCCCCTCGTCTCTGCTAGTTTAGGTTCAGGCTACCATGATGGCTTTCTTTAAGGTTTATTATGTTGGCTGTCTGCTATTTTGCTAGAGAATTTTTCTTAAAATTTCAAATTTGAGCAATACTCTTTGCTATTGGTAGAGAAATAATACAAATTCTGTCAAGCAAAACTTCAATGTATGTATAAGGTAAATTAATTTGTCTAATCATATTAAAAATGTTGCTCTGAGATAATTTTTCAGTCAGTTTTTTTTCCCTAGCAAGTGACACACCTGAAGAACTGCGGAAGAAATTAATAAGGAAGATGAAGTTAATTCTGAGCTCGGGTTCAGATGAAGAATGTGCAATTTGCTTGGATTCTCTAACAGTTCCTGTAATAACACATTGTGCACATGTATTTTGTAAGCCTTGTATTTGCCAAGTCATTCAGAACGAACAGGTTAGTTCTGAATATAATAAACCTATCCAATCATAGTCAAGTTCAAGATATTATATGGAGGTGCAGAGGGAAAGGGAGATCTACACTGTTGATAAGTGTTAACGTGGATGAAATGGAAGGTAGTCCAGAAGTGAGAGACAAGAAATCACTGGTGGGTGGGGGATCAGGGCGGGTATTGAGGGAGTTGATTAGCAGTCTAAACTGTTGAATACCAAGTTGATGATCTGAAATGTAAGCACTTTACAATGAGAAATTGTTATTTTAAAAAGATACTATATAAAGAGAGCTACACATGGATTTAGTAAAACACTTTTGTAGTTAATTTTTCCTGTGTTTCTCCAGGTGATATAATGAAGCCCTTTTAACATATAAAGAAACATATTTGGGCAGTGTCTTTTCACAGTCCACTGATAGGTTAGATTATTGCTGTCTATTAAATATGCCCATAATGTGAGCCACTGGTAATTTTACATTTTCGAGCCCTGGTGGTGTTGTGGTTTGAAAATAGCAGTAGCATCTCAGAGGAAATCTGGGCTCTACTCCTGTAAACAGTTACAGTCTTGGAAACCCACAGGGCTTGCTCTGAGTCGGGATTGACTCGACGACTGAGTGGTGGAGTCAGAGCCTTGCTGGCCTAGTGGTTGTGGTTGAACTGCGATGTTCAAGGTTGGCAGTTCAAAACCACCAGCCATTCTGGGAGAAAGACTGGGCTTTCGTTTCTGTAAACACAGTCTCAGCAATCCACCGCCCAGCCCTGTATAGTCATTGTGTGTTGTGATTCCGTGAATGAAGAGGGCCAGGAAAGGCAGTGATTTGATCACATAGAAGAGGTGAAAAAATGAGGGAGGTGCTGTTAGCTCTCTAAACAGATGAGTCTGAAAAATGTTTCCAAGAGTGGAATCATAGATTTGACAAATGTATTAAGTGTAATGGGGAGTAATTTGAAGATCATAAGGTTGTTTTGTAACAAAATTTAAATAGCTTTGGGGGGGAAAAGGGTTTTTTTGGGTACCCCCTCATATGTTGTATTGTGAACACAGTATTGATCAGTTTTCTACCACCATTCTAGTGTGAATGAGCACAAGTGTCTTGGCTGTTCCATTAGTATAGGTGTAGATGCTTTCATTTGATAGAATTTTTGTGAAGTGGAATAGTTCTTTAAACAGTCCTTTAGCTGGTATAGAATTTTTTCTAACCCTTTTAATTGACATATAACAACAGTTCTTTTAAAAACTATATGACATATCATTGAATACCCCAATAACTTTGGAAGTAAATACATCCACGTAAGTACTTTTCAGCACTCCTCTTATTCATTTACCTTCTTCTCCCCAAAAATAGCTGACTATGTATTTGTTGCTGAAGAGTTTTAGTTTTATTCTGTGTTGGTAGTATTTAGTTCTAGTTATTTAAGATATATTTTATATATGTCTCTATATGTTGCGCATATGTCTCTGTTTTACTTAATACAGGTGTAACGTATACTGTTTTGAGTGAACTTGATAGAATTGAACGGTATCTTTCATAAGACACTGAGAATGGAGTACTTATAAAATTGATGTTGGAGTGAGGTTCAAGAAACAATGTGTGGTTTCGTTTCACTGCCTCCAAATGAGTTACTTACTGTTTGAAGCTTTTCCTCAGTGTCACCTGCACTTGTTGTTGCTCCTCAGTGCTGCCTGCTTCTTTTGCTCCTTTCTCACCCCACTCAGTCCCACAGAACAGTACATACCGACTTTCACCATAGTTAGATTTATGCTAAATGCATTTGTATAAAGGTTTTAAAAACTGCTACCAGGGATATAAAGTTTGCCATACTTCTTAAACATTTTAGAAAGTGTTCATTTTTGTTTTTGTGGTAAATATACTTTGTTCTCTCTTGTACAGCCTAATGCTAAATGCCCTTTATGTAGGAATAATATAGATGGAAACAATTTAGTACAATGTCCTCCAGAAGAATTAGCATCCATCCATGAGAAAAGCAATAATGTGGAATGGACATCCAGTTCAAAGGTAAAATAGATATGTATAAATATTTTAGTTTGAGTTTACATAAGAAAATGCATATTTTGTGTAAAAATAATGGTTTAAAAATTAATGTTATACTTTGAATATTATGCTATATTGGGAGGGATGGCTTTTTGTTAGTTCTTAGTGGTGAATTTGGAAGGAGAGAGATAGGTCAGAGTATTAAAACCATTCAGTCTTGGCTATATTTTGAAACAGTAGTTGATATTGGATTTTGGGGAAATATATTGATACCTTTCATTAAAAATGAATAGTTACAGAGATTTTGAAAGTATTTTGCTAAATTTAAAATGGAATAATGGGTACTCTAATTTTTTCCAGATTAATGCATTAATGCATGCACTGATTGACTTAAGAACGAAGAATCCCAACATAAAAAGTTTAGTTGTTTCTCAGTTCACAACATTCCTCTCCTTAATAGAAACACCACTTACGTGAGTTAAACTCATTTTTTTATAGAAGTGTTTTGATTTTAATAACAAAAATAGAGTTATTTAATGTTTTGCTTGTTTTTATTTCACTTACCTAAATTTCAGAATCATAGTAAAGAATATTTTCTGGCATCATAGGATTTTAAAGATTAACTTTGCATTTTACTAGTAGGTATTTGGTACACATTTGTTGAGTGAAAACATTGTAGACATTTGTAATTAATTTTTTAAAGTGTAGTAAAGGCGACTTCTCTTTTTCTCTCCTAATTAGAGCCTCTGGGTTTGTGTTTACTCGTTTGGATGGTTCAATGGCCCAAAAGAAAAGAGTTGAATCAATTCAATCCTTTCAGAATACTGAAGCAGGATCGCCAACGATAATGCTTTTGTCTTTGAAAGCGGGAGGAGTTGGTTTGAATCTTTCTGCAGCTTCTCGCGTGTTTTTAATGGATCCTGTAAGTCATTTTGTGGGCTTTAGGTGTGCTATTACTACCTGGGAGTGCATTCTAACGAGGTGACAACGTGTGCCTCAAAATTAAGCTGTGCTTCGAATGTTTTCAAACACTGATCTTTTTTAAGTATATCCCCCCCAGCCCTTTCCCCCTAAGCGCTTGTAGCGATGGACTCAAACGTTCATCGTTTGAGCTAACTGTGGGAGGGGTGAAGTACGTTAACCGCACCTCTGTTTTTTCAAAAATAAAAATTTAGAACTGTTTATAAGATCTTCATAGTTGATTCTGGAAACTCTTAAGCTGTAAAAATGTATAATAATACATTCATAAATATGTATACAAAGCCTTTTCTAAAGCACTTAAACATTCCTTTGTAGTTAAAGTCATTGCTATCAAGTCAGTTACAACTCATAGTTTTGATACTGTTAACTTGGCCTTACTTGGCAGGTGAGGAAACTGAAACACCCAAGTTAAATAACTCAAGCAACACTATACAGCTAGTAGCGCATAAAATCAGATTCGCCATGTTACTCCACTTCTTGATTATAGAATAAGTGTCTGTTACCTGCATCGCTTTAGGGTAGTGGTCCCTTCAGCCAAGCATGAGATTTGTGTGGAGTCACCAGGGAGTTTAGTTGTAAATCAGGTGAACCAAGTAGCTACCTTCATGGTGTTAGAGGTCTTGAGGTCTAGAGGTCAGTGTATATAAGGATCATGTTAAAATTCTGTTTTTGACTTCTGTCCTCAAAGATTTAGTTCTTAGTCCTAAGAAGTGATATTTTGAACATATTCAGATACAAGTGGCCCTGGATCACAATATGCGAAATAAATATCATTGGTAGAATGTTCTGCATAAATTTTAGTACCTATTTAAAATAGACTACTTGCTGTGAAATGCATACATAGGCTAAGAGTAGCGCTCAACACCACCGTAAGTTTGACTTGGGAAGTTGTGTTACCTACAGGATCTATGTAAGAGCTCTTTCTCTAATTGCTGAAAGGGACTGTTTATACTGGAGGCACCTTGTACTAATTTAGGTTCCAATTTGCACTGGACACTATTAAGACTAGAAACAATTCCATGCTATTTCTGTGCTTCACTGATTTAAGATTTATAGTATTAGAGCTGGGAGAAAAACAGATTTCCTATTTGCGTAAAGATTTGCCGTCTTAGAAACCCACAGGAACAGTTATCCATGTCCCACAGGGTCGCTATGAGTTGGAATCAATTAGTTGGCATTGAGTGATCGTGTTAAAGCACGTTGCCTGAAGCTCACACTGTTCATATCATGAAGAAATTTTACTGAGATCTGAAAGCAAGCTATTCAGTTGAGGTTACCTATTCGATGCATGTATATGCTACTGAAACTTGGTTTTCTCAATTAGAAATAACCCCTCTATGGAATTTATGACTAGAGCCATATTTAGGCATCATGAGTGGCAGTGGTTTGTTGTATTTGTTTTGCCTTAGTATCTTGCGTGAAGTTTTCAGTCTTTGTTAGACTTTTTTTAAGCCCATTGTCAGTACAGATCAAGTTACATACTGATTTTCTGGGTGGGGTTCTCTGGTGAGGCAAACTCAGGGAAGCTTATGTGTGTAACTGGTTCACACATTTGTAAAACCTGATTCCAACCAAGGTTGGAAGCGTCTCCTGACTTACACAGCTTCTGGGGCTGATGAACCAGAGATTGACAAGGAAGGCCACACAGGTTGTTGGCTGTAGAGGCGAATGAATTCCCGGTTGTCAGGTCAGGCGGCAGGCCACTGTTGACTACCATGATAGCTGCCAATTTGACAGGCCATTGACTCAAGTTCCCCAAACCAGAGATTGATGACTTAGATGCAGGATCCAAACCCAGCAAAGAGCAAGCAAGCTTTTCTACAGCAACCAATTATATCAGAAGCAGGCCACTTTCTTGAAGAAACTTCCTTTCAATTGATTGCATCAGGACTATGAGCTGAGTAGGGTGTTGCATCCTACTTTTTTATCTTTTTACAACTGGCCGTGATTACATTCTGTTAGGTCAGGAGAGGAAGATTTGAAAAAAAAATCCAACTCACTGTCATAGCCCACTGTGAATCATAGTGACCCTAAGGGGTAGACCAGAACTGTCCCCAGGGGTTTCTGTGAGCGTTTGTTTACAGGAGTAGAATGTCTCATCGTCCTCCCACGGAGAAGCAGGTGGTTTTATGCTGCTGACCTTCACTGTTCAAAACCCAACTGGTGACCCACTACTCCACAATTAGTGAACGGTGGCTGCAAACCACTGAGAATCTTAGCCTGGCCAAGGTGATACCAAAAAAGCTAATTATCACAGTAATCCTGTAATATTCTAGAAGCCAGTTATGGAACAAAATTTCTAAATATTGTTTTCTAGTTTACAAATGTAATGTCTGATGAGGAATGAAGAGTATGTTAATATCAAAATAGTGTAATTAGTATAAAGTTGATTAGAGAGTATACACTTAAGCCATTAAAAACATCTTCAGAATTATTTTAACCCTATTATTCTTCAGTGAACACTTCAGGGTTTCCAAAAAGAAGATACACCTGGGCTCTTGGTTTAATGTCCAATGGATTTCACTCTAAAATATTAAATCTAACAGCTTTGGGCAAATTATAAACTAAGTATATTCTTAAATTTAACTTGTATGCTGGTGGATGGGGGACATGCCAGGGGGAGGACCTCAATCAAACAAAACTTGATGACTTTGAGACTCTTCTTAATCCGTAGGACTGAGTAGAATTGTTCCTTTGAGTTTCTGTGACTGTAAATCTTCAGAGGAACAAAAATCCATCCTCATCTTTCTCAGAATGGCTGGTGGTGGGTTAACAGCCCGATATGCACAAACTTAGCTGCCTTTTCTCGTGGGTTCCTTAAAACTCAAATTACCACATATTAATAGAAAATCCTTTCTTTTCCTAAATTTCACAACTAAAAAAACTTCAGCTAAGTGTAAATTATAATAAGCACGGGGCCTTTTCATATACAGCCCTGATGTTACTTTAAGCTGTCAGACAGGGGAGTTTTAATGCCTCTGTCTTGACAGTAGGAGGAGCCCTGACATCGTGGTTCAATGCTCAGCTGCTGAAAAGGTTCCAGTCTTGAATTAGCTACTTCTGTTTGTTTTTACCCACTTCTAAAAGACCTGAGGCTCTGCTTCTATAAAGATTTCCGACTAGAAAACCGATGTGGCAATTTCACCATCTCCCATGGGGTTGCAATGAGTTGGAATCGACTTACTGGCTCGGGAACAGCATCTAGATAATCATAATATTGTTTAGAAATGACTGCGATCTACACTGAAGACTCTTTCATTGCTCTATATTCAACAAGACAGGCAAGCTTAATTTTTTAGCTCAATTTTTACATCAAAACTGATTTCTAATACAGATGCAGACAATTGTATCAACAGTCTTAAGATTTTAGACTTTCACTATTCTGAAACTTTGTTTTATCATTTTCTCTCACGAATGGAAAAAAGTGAAAAAGAAAGGACCCGCAGAGCAGAGCATTTCTTATAAATAGGCCTGAGCATTTTTCTTTTTTATGAAGAAAGTCAAGTTATCTAAGATGTGTGAACTTAGTTTTTTCTGCTGAGCAGATGCAGATCATCTTAAAGTGAAACAGACAAACAAGCCCACCTACACAGCAGAAAGGAATGGTCAGATATCTCGGTTGGGTGCGTAGTGGGTAGGAGGGAATGGTGGCTATGATAATGCCTGTCTATCGTAGTAGTAATGAGAATGGACAGTGTTTGTTCTCCCCCCGCGCATTTTCAATGACAGTATCTCAGTTGGAAAATGGGAATGAATATACTGAAATGAAAGTATTTCTGTAGAACATGCACAGATCAGCGCAGTAATAAAGTAACTTGTGTGCGTACTAGGCCTGGAATCCTGCTGCAGAAGACCAGTGCTTTGACAGGTGCCACAGACTTGGCCAGAAGCAAGAAGTTATCATCACAAAAGTGAGTTTTAAAACCCTCTACTTTCAGATAGGCTGATAACGACTTTTTAGAAAGTTACACAATATTGTAAAAGATTAAAATAGCATTATATACAGAGCAAAATTTGAGGAAACCACCTACCATCGATACTTCAGAATCCCTTACCAAATGTTTACATGCTTTCAAGTTTGTATATACATATTAAAATTTTCTTTCTGAGGCAAGTGGGTCATACTTTTCTATTCTGTAGCATGTTATGTTTGTTTGCTTCTTAGTAGTATAAGCTGGACTGTTTTTTCATACCAGTCTGTTTTAACATCTACATGGCTTTTTCAAAATATACCCCCCAAAATAAAACTTACTACCATTGAGTTGATTCTGACTCATAGCAACCCAAAGGTCAAAGTAGAACTAAGTGCTCCCGTGTTTCCTTGGAAGTAAGACATCCCCGAAAATAAGACCTACTTACGGTTTTGCCTCTCGCTGAAATAGAGGCACCCCCGAAAATAAGACCTCCCCGAAAATAAGGCCTCCCTGATAATAAGCCCCCCCCTGAAGCTACCGTAACTCTGGACTCTGGACCGTAGTGGTGGGCGCCGCTGCGCAGCTCACTATTGGCCACAGCGCAGCTGGAGCAGACAGGAAGTGTGAGGTCTCTTTTCATCAGAGAGCCCGTGCTGCTGCCAGGACAAGCTGCCGCCTGCTGCTCGCTCTGCCCTGACGGAGTCGAGCTGACTCACAATTAGACAGTGAGTCGCATGGGGCAGGAGTAACAAGAAATTCTTGATACTATAGGATTCACAGTTTGTCTGGTTAGGCTGGTTTGTGATGACAGCTATTACCGCGCTGTATACAGGTGATAAATTTCCTTTTTTGTTGTTCAATAATAAATGTGACTGTATTCTTCTTCATGGAAAAATAAGACATCCCCTGAAAATAAGACCTAGCGTGTCTTTGGGAGCAAAAATTAATATAAGACACTGTCTTATTTTCGGGAAGCAGGGTAAAAAGAGTTTCTGAAACTTTTAAGTCTGCCAGAGCAGACAGCCTCATTTGTCTCTCCTAAAGAGACTGGTGAGTTCCCTCCATCAGCTTTTCTGAGTAGCGGTTCAGTGAGTAACCCACTATGCCATTAAGGCTTCTTTTCATAGTACAGATGTATCATAATTTATTTAACCGGTCTTAATTTTTAAAAATGAATACAAACTGGCATACTGGTCTTTATTGTTGTGAATATATAAGTAAATAATAGGTACACAAACTTAATGGGCTGATTGCCTCCTTTACAAAAAATTACTTGATCCCCTGTAACCCATAATCCAGGATACAGTGTAAGTTATCTAGTCTTGGTCATACCCTTAGCAATTAAAGTCTTTTGCCTGAAAGCCCATAATCCAGGATAAAGTGTAAGTATATGTCTTTGTATCCCCCCTGGATGGTTCTAGCTCCCTCTGTGGGGTAATATAGCCCGCTTAGGGCAATGCTGATCTAGATGAAGACAACAGGAATTACAGATTTATAATTTTTACCAGATGACTGCTAAACTGCTGTCAAAACAAATTCAATAGTACAAGAGAGTGATGTAAATGTACGTGCCTGTCCTAGCCGAGTGCCATTCTAAGCCATGGTTACAGGATAATGTTTGTGTGCGGCTTTCTTTTTTTTTTTTCTTTTCATGTAAGGGGGTCTTTATATATTCTGATTTTATCTTTGTTCTGTCTACTGTAAATGACTATTTCCATGTGCTTTTGTGATGAGAAAGTCTTCATGGTATGAAAGGGGACGTTTTCTCTGTAGCTCCACAAGTCTTGGGTAGGACAAGAAGGCTTTGTCTAAATTTGGTAAAACTCTTCCATACTTTTGGTTCTTTTGGAAGATTTCATTTACTAAGATTTGTTAATAATTAGTGATGTATGGGTATAACTGTTCATTCTTCAGATGAAGAAAAGTGTATTATATCATTGCTTTTTGAAAGGTCCATCTTTTTTTCCCCATTGGTTTATAATGTGTCTGGACTCTGTTGAATTCCTCTCCTTTCTAATCCTGCATTCTTATACCTACTATAGTTTATAAAGTATGCTTTGATAAGTCTGGGAGGGCCAGGTGCTCTGATCACCCCCCCTATTTTTGGAAAATGGAATCAGTGATTCCTATTTACTCTTGCCTTGAACTTTATTGAAAATCTTACGTGGGATTTGTAATTGCATTGGATTTAAGGTTAATTTGAAAGAAATACCTTTAAAATATGAAGTATTTTTAGCTAAGAACATTGATCTCTCCCTGTTAGACCTTTTTAATACATACCAGTGAAATTTTATATAATAATTTTTCTTTAACGATTGCAGTAAGTTAGGATCTCTGTGTACAATTTTGAATAGTAATGATGTGTATCATATTTGAGTTGTTAATAATTTACTGGGAATACTTTAGTTTACATTAAGCATCTTTTTCTAAGGTAGCTAATATATACATTTAATAAGATTGAGGATTTACAGCTTACTGAGTTATCAAGATTTTAAAAATTAGGTATAAATGTTTAAATTTTATCAAATAAATTTTAGCCATCTCATCTATTGAGATGATTGTGCATTTCCTTCCTCTTTAGTTTGTTAATGTTATTAATTATACTGGCCAATGCCTCATTGTATTTCCGGAGACTTACTTTTAAAAATGCACAATATTAAATATACTAATCTAATTAAAGTTTTGTTTGCGTTAGTCTTTATAACTCATAGTTAACTAGTTTGGGGGGTTATTTTTGGTACTTTTCTTTGGTGATGGAGTTAGGAAATGTAAGTGTGGTCTCTAAGGACATATTTTTATCTGTAAAAATCATACAAAGTGATAAGAGAAGCAGTGCTCAGATAATTCTTATTATGAATATTTTTATTATATTACGAAAAATGGACTGGCTAACCCAGTTTCCAGTAGGTTATTATATATGCTTAAAAGGTTATATATTATTTGTAAGAAAACAAATTCATTTCTTGTAGACCAGTGTTCTCATCACCTTTCAAATTTTTCTTTTTCTTTTATCTTAGTGGACAGTATTTTTATCTTTCATTCTTTTCAATAGTATATGTAGTTTTCTTATTTGGGTTTTTTGTTGTTGAAACTCTAAGCATTAAAATTTTAAATAGTGATTGAAAAAGTGTACTTAACCAATTTAACCCCCTCTTCCCCCCCCCTTTTCTTTTAAAAGTTCATTGTAAAGGACTCTGTTGAAGAAAATATGCTGAAAATACAAAACACAAAGAGAGAACTTGCAGCCGGAGCTTTTGGAACTAAGAAACCCAATGCTCATGAAATGAAACAAGCAAAAATCAATGAAATCAAAACGATAATTGATTTATAATTGGTGTGGTTTTAGTAAAGTTTGGATAGATACATACAGAAGTTTTAGAAATGAGATAAATGCAGAATTTTAGAAATGAGACCTAAAAATATGTCTTCTAAAGAAGAGGGGGGCATGTTTTATATTAGTGAAGACGTATTATTGACACATAATATCTTCTATATATGATTCTATTTTTAATGGTCTTTCAAAATAGCAATAAGTTCTGTTCTATACTGTGGCCTAAAATAATTTTTCAGGGGGAAGAAAAGTTACTTTGTTGTTCAACTTTTCACAGTACCTATGCTGAGTATTTTCATATATCTCCCAAGTGCTCAGCTTTTTTCATATGTCAAATGAGGTCAAATCCTTTCTACTTTGGCCAAATAGTTATAGTCTGTGTTGGGCGCATGTAGGAATTCATCAGAGCCTCCCTTCTGTGTGCAGTGGATTGCCAGTCCTTGTATACATCGACAGTAGGGGAGATGGATTTTATTAGACTTTTCAAAAACCACATTTGCATTCCATTACCAAAACTTAAATAAAAGACCAAAGTCCAGGTGAGCGAGTTGTTTGCAGTTTTATGTTCACGAAAAATATTGGGCTATTAATAGCACTATTTTTTCCGTTTTAGTCAGGCAGTACTCTAGTGATTCTTTAAATGTAATTTGATGTTTAGGGTGTAAATACAGCCTGTGGATGTGGGAGAAAACAAATTCTCAATTTGATTTGATATTTAAATTATGGCATTGCTAAATAGATATTTCTATAAATAGATAATTTTTATTTATGTAGAATTTTTTGGAAATACCTTTATAAACTTTTATAATTGAGAAAACTACTGAATGTGGGAGGTATGATAAACTGGATAGATGGAGGTGAGGCTGGAGGACCTGCAAGAGCATTTCAGCCCGTTAAAGACATCTTATTCCTGAATGTAGATGCTTCCTTATCTGTGTTTCGAATGAAAATTTGGTTTCGGAATGTAATTCATCTTTGCTTACAATGAGATACCTCCCCTTACGTGTTGTTAATAAGCAAACACATAACAGGTGCCTCAGAACCCTGGGTGACTCTTTGAGTCACATTTAAAACAAATAGGAAGTTTAATGATCAGGGTTAGGAGTCAGTGGTGTTATTTCCTTAAGGGGATTTTTTTGTTGTTGTTCCAAGAATGAAAACTGCTGTAACAAAAGGAGCTTCATTTGTATTGACGCAGACTCAGTGGCGGCACTGTAGCGCCTAACTGACATTGTTAGAGAGGACCTGACAGGAGGTGGTTGCGGGCAGTATATTGCTGCACGGTGCTCATCTGAGGGACACGATGGCTCTTTCCCCAGCTAAGGCCTCCCCTCCATGCGCCCTCTTTCTCTCTAAGGCAACAGTAGCTGAGCTGTCCCTTTTCCCAGTGGCGCAGTTTTAAGGGGATTCTGATGAAAAAGGACCAAAAGACCCTCTCAGCAAGGACTAAGAGTAGGATATGTACCCTCTCAGCAAGGACTAAGAGTAGGGTATGTAATAACTATGGTCGGTTCACTGGCATAAGGAACAGAAAGGCAGGGGTTTACCTTGGATAAATACCAGTTTATACATTGAGTACAGGTCCCAACCTGCATGAGAGACAAAATTCACGTTGATCTGGACCTCACAAAATATGGTAGTGTGCATTTTCTGTATGTCAATAATCCACTAGGATTAAGTATAAAAATATTCAGCACAAAAACCCATTCTGCTTCTTGCTTACAAAGGCAGAGCTTTAAACTTGCATACAAAGGCAAAGGCTACATTTGCTTCTTTACCCGAACATTCACTGAGCTGTGTTTCTAAACATGACTATAGTAAGTTTGGCAAGTCATTTTAAAAATGACTGTTTTTGTACAGTTCTGTTAAGTGGTGTTTAAAAAAAGAATACAATTCGTCCTAAGAAAATATATAAACTACTGGAATGGAAACTTCACATTAGCCTATGCTGTTAATTTTGTTTCGTTATTGAGTAGAATAATAGTTTTAGAAATATGTTGAAGATATTGTATTGATACTTGTGGTTCAAACTGGATTTTGTTTTCAGCTTAATAAAAACTTCAGAAATTTATTATTAGCTTATTTTGTTACATTATTTTAATGACTAAAGGAAGTTAATTATTTATTAAACATCTCTGACAGTGTCTATTTTGCATCATTTTTACTGAAAATACCATGATTAAATTAGTAATTCCATATTCTCTTCACCTTTTAAATTTTGGTAAATTTAATTGAATCGGAGCATATACTATTTTGTTGTTGCAGTTTATGGTATTTTTTATTGAAATAGTTTATCTGAGTATATAAGTTTTTAGGTTAAGTGCCTTGATCTTCAAAAACATTGGCTCAGGCAGGTTATTAACTTTAGCTTATCTGCAATAAAGAGAATAAGACCCACGTTTGGTGGTTTAATAGGTAACTGTGATTGTATATTTTTCTGTAATTTCAACTCATAGATTAGTGATAATCGAAAATTTAAGGAATTTATTGCCAATGAGTACCGATGAAATTACTCTCAAGAGGTGTATGTTTTCTTTTGGGAGATGTCAAAGGATCAAATTTCTCTTTAAAAAGCTTTGAATTACATGATTTTTTTCTGACACAGAAGCAGCATTCCAAAATTTAGGCTTATCTTGGAGGTAAAAGTTCAGTTTTGGACCATCACAATAAAGTGATTATCTCAATAAAGCAGTCACCATATTTTTTGTTTCCCAGTACATATAAATAATGTTTGCACTGTATATTATAATCTGTTAAATGTGCAATATTAGGAAACTGTTTCAATACTTTTAAGAATTGCCAGAATGTGACATGAAATGAACACAGGGTGTTAGAAGAATGTGTTGATAACTCTTGTATTCAGGGTTGCCACAAACCAATCTGTAGGCCAGACAGGCTCTCTTAATTGCAAAAACAAATGCGGTACGCTGCTACAGTTACTTGGGTAGTATATTGCACGTATTTAAAATAAGCCTGTAGTGTTTTATCTAGAAATGACTTTTTTGTTCATTGTAACCAGGGACCCTGATGCAGATACTTGGCCAGCATGATACAGTAGAACAGCACTCACATTCAAAGGCTTTGTTTAGAGCAGGAGAAAGGAAAAGCACTGTCAGCAGCACTGCTAGCTCACAGGCTTGATGAATAGCATGCTTCGAAAATGAAGGGACTCCAGATCGAGTAGCTAACAGCTAGCAAACAGTGTAGAGAAGGAGCACGATCTAACGTGGTCCGTGAAGACTCTGACCGTGGGCTTGTTTAATGCAGAACATGGTCTTGGAGATGGAGACAGAAAATGTGCGTTATCTTCTGCCAGTTATATATTTCTATGCTCTGGTTTTGTTTACAAAACGAGGACCACCTATAGAATTAATTGAAACAAATACAGTCTTTTATTAGCCTATATTTCACATTTTTCTTAGAAGGTATTGGATTACAGCATTTGATACTCATGTTATCAAAATTTAAGTGGACTTTAGTACCTTTTAAAATTTGGAATAATCACAGAACAAATGCAAATCATGGTATTTTAGTAATTTGGCACGGCTGTTAATACCACTCAGGCCCTGAAGGCACACCGAATCTAGCAGCATTGTTAGTCATTGTGGGTGGCTTTAACAAACCAGCTTTCTCACAGTTTAGAAGTCTGAAGCCAGCACCAGTCCTAGAGGACAGTGTCTGTCGGTTTTGGCGGGAAGGTCCTTGTGTCTGCCCGTCTGTGTTTTGGTTCCTTGGAAATCGCACTTATCGTAGCATTGTTCTCCATCTGTGCTTCTCTGGCCTAACACACACCTCCACTACTAAATACACCCTGGCATCAGTCTGGGGACTTCAGAGAAACAAATCCACAGAAACTCATGTGTAAGAGTTTTATGTAAAGGGTAAGTGCACGTCAAGAAAATATCCCAACCCAGTGCTGCCCAAGCCCACAAGTTCAACATTAACCCATATGTCCAACACCAGTCCACAAAGTCCTCCTCCATCTCACAAAACATGCAATGATGCCGACTGCAGGAGGAAAGCCGAGTCAGTGAGTGTGTAAGCGTCTCAGCGCTGGCAGGGGTCTCCACACGGCTGCTCCAGCACCAGGGCGGCATCGGGGTAGGTCCATGCGGCTTCTCCTCAGGGATGTCTTGCAGGAAGTGAGCCACCTGAGAACTAGAAAGGCGAGGCTCACCAAGCCATTTATCCCTCTGCCCTTCAATTAACCCCATGTGTTTTTATCGGCCAGGTTGGCACAATAAACTAATTCAACCTCATTAACAAAATCCTCCCAAGTAGAATTATAACCACAGGTAGAGGATTTACAACACATTTTTTTAGAAAAACCAAGTTTTTTGAAGAAAAAAAATATACAATTTCAATGACATCAAAACACCACACATTGGTAGTACCGTGGTAGGATTCGTCCACGCAGCAGACGGATTCAGTTACTGGCTAATGCACCTCAAGTGTCCTCCCCCCACCCATCTGTCTTGTCAGTGGAGGCCTGCCTGTTGCTGTGATGCAGTGGAGCACCCGCCGATTAGGGACAAAGGTATGGCGATAACTTCCAAAAAACTCCTGCGCATTACTACAGTTTTGTATTTGGTATTTAAATAGCACTTAATCAACTCAGGCAACAGTTTTATTTGTAATAATTCAACATTGAGTCCCCTATACAACAACCCTCATGTGTGCACTTTTGTCTTAAAAATAACCTCTACTCCCTGTTATATTTAGCGTAAATAATGTATCTAGTGGGCCCTCGGATCATTTGAATCAATCATTTGGAGTGGAGATACATGGTTTCAACCCAGACTGATTCATCAGGTTTTTCTAGAGTATCCTGGAGGTAGATGTGGTTGCTCGGTTCCCTTCAACTTCCTTTTCCATGTGCATAGCTAATGCACAAGAGCGGCCCGGCTTTCTGCCCAGGGAAGCCGGACGTCCCTCGTCCCTTCAGGTCCGCTGTGACAGCAAGCCTGCCCCTTCCCATCCACTGAGCTCGATGCTTCCCCAGCAGCAAACGCGTTCTTAAATTACAAACCACAAATGAGGACAAGTAGATCTTTAAGAATAACTTCAGGGGACTGAAATAAACTTAGAATCCATGAATTCACAATACTAAAACCCCAAGAACACCCTCCTGGCTATCTTTGGGTGTTAACGTAACTAATTTCTCACACTGGTGAGAACCGAGCATTCACCCCACCCTTTGACAAAAACTAAACTCAGGGCCACCTACATAGTGAATGGAACTGTGTATAGTAATATTTCACCAAATCCAGTGAACTTTCAACTCTGAATGCGATCAACTCAACCAAAAACTGCTGCCGAGTGGAAGCCAACTACTAGTGACCCTGTAGGACAGGGTATAGCTGCCACTGGGTTTCTGAGACGGAACTGTTAATGTCAGGAGAAAGTTACCTCAGTGGGGCTGCTGCTGGCTGGGAATCGCTGACCTTTGGTTAGCAGCCCAACTAAACCCCCAGGGCTCCTGATGACATAATGTGCTGCATTAAACCAATCAACAACATAAGCAGAGGTTGGAAGTGCTCTGCATTTCTATTAACTGTTGTCCACCCCCCAAAATTATGCCTTAATCTGATAAATCCTCTAGATCAGTTCATTGCACATAGATGAGAACATTCAAATTGCAGCCAATAAAATGCAAAATGTATGAGCTTTCTGCAGCAGTGATGTTTTCTCCAAGCAATAGCAGCAATAAAAGATGAGTAATGAGTGTATTATCATCCATATATCAACCAATGGCAGTGTATGGATCTTAAGTTCTGACTCAAATAGGAATTTTAAAATTTTAATCAGAGGATACTTTTGGAATCACTAATATTTGGTGATAATTTTTGAAGTCTTTATTTTTAAAAGATTTATGTATAGGAATGTTTATAGATGAAAATACTTCAAAACCATCAGGCAGTTGAGTAAGGAATGGTATTGATGAGACACCTGTTGAAGCTGGGTCCTCATTTTGCTTGCTTTGGGGTGTTTGTAATTGCCCATTAGTAAAACTTCGGTGGATTGCTACCGAATTTAGAACCAACTCCCCAATCCTGTGCCTCGCTAATGAAACCATTCCCTCCTGTGTCTGAATTCTTCACAAGCACAGAGTTCTCGCTGCAGGGCCTTCGTCTCACGTCCACCTGCGAGGAATGCTCCCCTCCCCCTGCACCCTTTCTCAGAGAGACAGACCCTCGAGTCTTTCTCTGGCTTTAAATGGAGTCTTTTGGAGGACGACTTTCTTGGCCACCATGATTGGATTGTCCTTGTTAATGTCAGCACCCTTGGCTTAGAATTTGTAGTTTGTTCCTTTTGGCCTTTTCTTGGTCTTCCGTGTTAGAATACAAAATATGAAGGCCCGCCTTGTACACCCCTGTTATTAATACACGTGTGAAGGTATTCAATAAGAACTTGAATTCGTATTTTTACCTTCAAATGTATGTTACTTGAAGTTACATATGACGTGAAGTTAGGATGCTTAAATGTTTTAGTAGGTGTTGTTTCTGGAATAAAGTTGCCATTGTGTTACCCCGATTCACGGCTTATTTCTTGGAAATCATGGCCATTGGGGCTGTGAAGGCAACAAGACTGGATTGAAGTTGGGAGTTATACACAGGTAACTAGTGAGTCAAAGACCCATTTGTGTGATTTATAAATTAGACTTTAATGGATTTTGTTTGGAATTTTCTGTGCATTGGATTCTCATTGGAAGACTTAGCCAACTATCCATTGCAGATAGCTTTGAAAATCAGGAGTTCTTTTTTATTTTTAAAATAGTTTTAACAGTTTCGTGACATGATTCACTGGGAGGTAGCTGGGGAGACCTTTGGGTTACAGCCCTTGATACATGGCACTTGCCGGTTGGTGACTGTTTCCTGCACTTGAAGAGACAGTATTTACTTCTCTGCCAGTTCAAATAGTGTGACTTATTTAATCTCAGGAAATTCTTTATCATTTATTGCTTTACAATTTTAGCTAACGTTTATTGTGAGCTCTGGTGGTGACCACCACTCCATGTGGACCCATGATTCTTCCCCAAGCTTCTGTGTGTTCATGTTCACACTTCTGTCGGCCCCCGTAGCCAACAGAGAGAACCGGAGGAGCATGGTCTTCGAGGCCAGGTCAGGAGTCCTTGGGGTTTCTGTCCAGTCAGACCCCTAAAGTTTTCCCATCAGTCTTGTTAACTCTCTAGTCCATTTTCCTCTGTTTTCTCCAAAAGGAGGATTTGTTTCCGATTGCCCACTTTAGTTTCAAAATATAATTCTGGATCCTAACCATTCCTAATTTGCCAGCACTCCCAACCTAAAATCACCTATAAACTTAATATCCGGGCTTTACTTTTCCATTCGATCATTTAAAGTCGGAACAACAGCATCAGAAGGCACTGGGTCCAATGTGGGCTCCAGCTGATGTCCTGAAAGACAGTACTGCATAGGTTCAGAGATGAACGGTGATTTCAATGTGAAGGTTACATGATCAATCTCTGAATAGCCACTCACTGTGGACATGCAGTGAGCGTGACAGACTAGATAAAATGTGACCTCACCCCTCCATGCAGTCCACCACTATCCCGGGGGCGCACTGGATCTAAATATCAGATAACTTAAAAGCATATCCCAGGATTTAGTTTCATGTTGCGTTTGTAAACATTGATAATATTCGTCAGTTGTGAAAAATCCCGATTACATTTTCTTAAGGGTGTGTGTGTGGCTTCCTTAATTTTTAAAATAGACAACCAACGAGATGGCGAAGGCTTTATTTTTCATAGCGGGTTCCATGGGGAGGAATCGGAGAACACACTGCGATACAGCTCTGCTATACCGAACTGGACAAAAGCATTGAAGCATGCTGCCTTGCTGTACTTAGAAAAATGGCGAACCTCTTCAGACACAGATGAAATGGGTTAATTCCATCTGCTGGTATGCCTATCAAGTGGTGCAGGCTGCCTTTACCTGAAAGCAGAATTAACAATCACTCTGGCTGCCTCTGGACTATTCTAATACAGGCCTAGTGAGGGGTGCAATGAGCAGGCAAGGGACAGGCGCCGTGTCCCCATTCTGAAGCGAGAGATTTAGCACTTGGCTCTGCATATTTTAGAGACTGAGCTGGCCAGCCTCATAGCATGTTGAGTTTCTTTTACCACGCATATTGGTAATCAACATTAATCGAGAACTTCTGAAACGTTAACTGAACACTGTCCACGTCACAGAACCGCTGTCACAACTTTGGCCCAGGTCTCACGGGCTGTCCTGTAAAAACCCCTCAACTAATGAGTTTTAGTGAAAGCCTCTAGCAACTGTTACATCCCTTCTCCACCCAGTTCTAGATACTAAGTCTCGGAAACGAGCTCCCTTGGAAGTGGCGTGTCCACAGGAAGGCAGCGTTTCTACTGGAGGTAAGTGTCCAGTTTCCTCTGGATGTTGTCAAAGGAGTCTGCGCCCAGGTAATCAGCCTGGCCCTGTTCCCACCGCTCCTTCCGTTCTTCTGAGGAGACGAAAGGCTGTACCACAGCTGGGAGCTCCCCCAGGGACAGGTGCGAGATGGCTCCTGAGACCTCCTCCTGGAAGGGAGAGGAGAGGAGAGCACATCAGAGTCTGAGAACGAGAAGTCAGGCCACTTCCCAGAATGCAATAAACTGAAGAAGGTGAGAAAAGCCAGGATGAATTATCATGCAAAGTAGCAAAAAACAGAAAAGTATCACATGACGTGAACAAACAAAAGACAAAAATAACAAAGGTCTTATGATTTTTTTTCCCTAACAAAATGGAGACTTCTTGACTCAGTGAAAACATTGGGAGAACAAATTGGGGTTAATGTTTAAGTTCTGCATACCTTTCTACAGAAGCCACAAGAGAAAGCCAGTGTATAGACCGAGTCTGAAAGCTGCAAACAGTTCATTAGACAGTGTAAGATGGATGGAGAAGGGAACACAAGCCTCATGATAAATTCTCGATCGCTGTGGGCGCAGAAAGGTTGAGAACTTAAACAGAATGACACTTCAGAGGCTAAGGTGCTTCCAGAAGGAACCTGACCAGAGAGCCACACCGCATGTACAAGTTGTCACGTGATCAGAATGAAGGCTGACACGCTGTAGGCCGTGGACCCAACGCATCTGCCTGTTCAGGCGTTTGTTTGGGTTATCGAAGTAGCATCTATTTCTGTAGCTTCTGCTTATTTAATCTGCTCAGTTTGGAAAATCTGTTTCAATTCTCATCTTCGCCTTTCTTTGCTTCATATTCCCAGTCCTTGGATTGCAGAAGGAACGCAGTGAGCACACAGGAAACAGAACAAGCCACTCTACAGTCTATGTACAGATTAGCAGTAACTCAGAGGGGCCAAAGAAAGAAATACCAAGGCTGTCTTTTAAAAAGCTCCTAGGTGACCAGGTACTGGAAATCTTAGCAGAGAAAGAGGAAGGCAGATGAATCCACACAGGCATTGCTTTGCACAGAACACAGCTTCTTTGAGATACACGTTCTGAATGCCTGTTCATGCCATGTCTAGACTCAAGTACAGCTGTGCCCGTGTCTACACGCGGCCACCACGAAGTGTCTAGAACACAGTCCACGGGGCTGCATTGCAGGTGAGGCCACATAAGCAACACTTCCACTGGGAAAGCCCTGCGTTGGCCTTCAAGGTGCAGAAGGAATGGCGTGGGAGGCTCTCCCAGAAATCGGTGCCGGATATGGGGGCTCTGCCCTCAGTGAACCTCCCTGGAGAGGAACCCTAGAAGGCGAGCAGAATGCTAGATCTAATTTAAGAGCGTGCAGGTTTTATAGTCGGACATCTTCCTGACTCTCCAAAGAGGGCTGTATTTAATTCTGGGTTATAGCCCAATACCTTAAACAAGGCCCATCTCGTATTTTCATATAAATAACAGCCTCAGGATCTGACTCTTAGTACAAAACTCCAAAGCACTTAAATGCAGTGAAGCCTCCATTTGTCGACAAACTGGGATATGACAGGTTGGCTAACTTACTAAAGGGCGGACTATGTGCCAAACCAGGTGCCTGGGGGTTTCAGCGGGCATGTCACGCTTGGGCTGCCAAAGATAATGTTGTCTGCTCTCATCAAGAGTTGGTGTCAGAAATCCTAAGGTGTGGCGATGCTGTTCTCTAGGATCGCTGTGAGTTGGCTATGGCACAGCCGGGGGTGGGCATATGGGAAGCAACGAGCCATGGAGCCGAGCACAGCTGCTAACCAAGAGCTTGGCAGTTCCAAGCCACCAGCCACTGTGTGGGAGCAAGATGTGGCAGCCTGCTTCCATATTGGCTCAAGAAAAAAGCCTCCAAGTTCATCGCTGTTGAGCCAATTCTGACCCCTGGTGACGCTGTGGGACACAGGAGGACTGACTGCCCCAAAGAGTTTCCAAGGTCGTAAACCATTAAGGAAGCAGACTGTCTTGTCTTTCCTACAGAGTGGCTGGTGAGGTAGAACTGCTGGCTCTTGTTAGCGGTGAGTGCGAAACTCCTGTACCACTAACGCTCCTTTTGAAAAAGTGAGTACCCCAGGGATGTGCTATCCTGTCAGGTAGTTGTGTGCGTGTGTGTGTGTGTGTGTGTGTGTATGCTGAGTGCCGTTCCAACTGCTGTGTGGCATGCACTCAGAATCCTATTTAAAATATTATTTGGGGGGTTAATTGGTAGTTTAAAAAAGTGGCTAAAATGTATACCACAGAAAAGAACCTTACATTCTAGAACCTTACATCCTCTTAGAATTGTAGCCAGGTAATGAACTCATCACTTAGCTTTGATGACAGACCCATTCGCTTCTACACTTTCACGTGTAGCAAGCCTAATTCATCCTCCTCCAAACTAAGAAACCTCGAAAGAGGAGCTCTTAAGCCAGCAGAAGTGCTAACGCAGACTGCTCTCCTCGATAGCGATGCCCTCTGACAGAGACACCCCTTTTCCAGGACCCTCTAATAAACACCCGAGGAAGAGCCCTCATGGTAGAGTGGTGAAGCCCGTGGCTAGTAACAGAAAGGTGGGCAGATTGAACCTACCAGCTACTCTGTGGCGATCTGCTTTCCCAGGAGACCCCGTGGGCAGTTCCATGCTGCCCTAAGCCATCTCAGTGAGTCTGGAGCTTGACAGCAAAACAATTGGATTTTTTTTTTCAAGTACCGTATATACTTGAGTAAAAGCCAACCTGAATATCAGCCGAGGCACCTAATTTTACCACAAAACTGCATATAAAATGTGCCGAAGAAAACTCAGCTTATACTCGAGTATATGCAGTATCCAGAGAAGCATAAACGTAGGAAAGGAAAGTAATCCTAGACAAGTGTTCATTTCAAGCTACTGTGACTTTTGCTGCAAATGTTCTATGCAGATGGCAAATAAAAATCTGGGGTATGTAAGTGTTTGCCTTTTCCAAAATATGAAACGGGACATTCATTTTTATAGCATACCACCTTAAGAATCATCTCAAAATCTCAGGACAACCATCATTAGGAATTTATCATTCCAGCATAAACGTCTGTATCCAAAAACTGCATCTTGGCTCTCAGAGCTCAGGAGATTGTCAAGAAGTCTACTTTACTTCAGTCTTTGCTGATAGTATTTCTTTCTGAGCTGGCCACGGTTTCCCTTCCACAAAAACTTCTTTATTTAAAATACCACTAAGTGCCCGCCCCCACCTATCTTTATTGATATATCAAATTTTGAAAAACTGCATAAAATTAGATAAAACTGCATAGAAGAAAGTAGAACCTACCACAGTCAGGTAGGAGGCGGTGTCTTTGACAAGACCAAACTGCTGAAGCAGAGGTACAATGTTGGTGGTAAAGATGTCCCACCACATGTTGAGAAACTCCGGGTGAATCATGGTAGGGTCATGGCCATCACTTCTGACACTTCGTGTTTTGGGATCATAAGTATAATTCCATGGTTTGATTAGTCCCAGAAAATGCACAACTTTGGCATTTGCACCGAACCTGCAGGGTAAACATAAGTTTGGTAAGTTCTATGGATCAACACGCACCTTGCGGTATGGTCAACAGTGTTTCATCCAGCCTGCAGTAGTGATTAAGAAAGAAGCATCTCGCTGGGAAACGGACACGTACTTTTTCTAAAAGCGGGGCAGTAGTGGAGTTCAGTTGAGAGCTAAATAGACTAGAGATGTAGGAAAAGAATTGCGACTCCGTGCAATACACACGCCACCTATCCACTGCTACAGGAGACGTAACCAGGTGGAAAATAATTTGATGTGCCCTCTACCAAGGAGCCTGGCTGCAAGGCATCTATCTACCCAAGAGGTCGAGGGGATTATCACAAAATGTTCAGTACAGCAGTATTGTTGGAATTGGTCATGAACTAGAAGTAACCTGGATGCACACATTAGATGACGGCTCAGCCATCACTCCTCCCAAGCTCAACAGACCCACCGCCATTGAATTAGTCTTGGTTGACTAGAGAAATAAATTCATAGACACTCCTATGTACATAAGGAATAGCTTTACATAAAGAGTAATTGTATATTAAGAAAACATCATAGCCCAGCCCAGATCAAGTCCATAAGTCTGATATTAGCCCACATGTCCGTTACCAGTCTATAAATTCCTCTTTAGACTCACACAACACATGCAATGATGCCAAATGCAGGAAGATCACAGGTCAGTGGGTGGAAAGTTTTGTGGATCCAGTGGTGGTGGAAGCATCTCAGCGCTGGCAAAGGTCTCCATGCGGCTCCTCCAGCTCCAGGGCTCTGGCTCCATCGGCATAGCTCCATGTGGCTTCTCAGCAGGAACGTCAAACAGAGTGTGTGTGTCTGGCCTGCAGTGAGCTATTTATTTCCATTCCGTCTCCAAATGAAGTTGCCAGCTGATTGACAAGCTAGACTCTATCCCTTTGCAAGTTGACAGGAGATTATATAACCACCACACGTTGATTCTAACAGCAACCTAGGGTTGCTAGGGGCTGTGGAATCAGCTCCAACTCAGCGACCCCATGCACAAGAAAATGAAACACGGCCTGGTTCCTGCGCCATCCCCACAACTGCTGTCACAGAGCTCATTGTTGTGGTAGGTTTGTCAGTCCACCTCTTTGAGGTTCTTCCTCTCTTCACCGATCTAATGCTTTACCAAGTCTGATGTCCTTTTTCAGGAACCGGCATCCTGATAACATGCCCCATGTACAAAGCTTCACTATCCTCGCTTCTAAGGAGCCTTCTGGTTGTGCTTCTTCCAAGACAGATGTTTTGTCCTTCTGGCCGTCCTTACAGTCTTGTCAGCACATAACTCGAATGCATCAGTACCTCTCTGATGATTTGTGTTCATTGTCCAGCTTTCTCATCCATATGAGGCCGTTGAAAATACTGTGGCTTGGGTCAGGTGTCACTCAGACTTCAAAGTGAGATCTCTACTTGGTGCCAGGAAGTTTGCAGTTTGCACAGCAGGTTTGCCCAAGGCAACACCGTGTGATTGTGTTGATTGTGAATCCGAGTGACAGCTTTACTCTGTTTATCATGATGTTGCCCATGAGATTTTCCTCACACTGCGTTGCAGTCTATACTCCAGGCTGAACTCCTCGAGCTTCATCAGTAAGTCCTCTAAATCCTTTTCACTTTCACCCAGCAGGTGGTGTTGGGTTGTCTGCTTACATATTAGTTCTCAAAATTCCATAAATCCCCCACCCCTAAAAAAAGTATGTGTGTATGCTGAGTGCCGTTCCAACTGCTGTGT